CTTCTTATGTTTCAAACGGCACAGACATACATGTATTTATAATCCGATATAAGTTAACGTGGATAATGTACAACGCACTGTTGATATACATATTAACGTCTTCTGACACAGTCCACCATCAGTCAGTATATATGTCACGAGCATATGTCCAGCAGTTCACAGAAGGAGGTAGACGGATATAAGCTACATTTAACGCGGAACGAATTCCAATAGTCTCATAAAAAGGCATAAATTATCAAATAACTGGTTTGAAAAAAAGTGACAAAAGGTGGCGTGACTATTAGGAAAATCTCCGCCATGGTTTTTAACAAAGAGCAGGTGCTATCGAATGATCACGCTGCCAGGAATGGTAGAGTTATGAAGGAAATGGCTTGATAATTAGTCTCAAAGGACCTGAAAAACGACCACACAGTCACTCACAGAATTCCAGGTTTCTCTCTTATTTAGAGTTAATGTTTACTGACGTAATTGGTGTGGCGGTCCCCTGATCTCCACGACTACGGTTATTCATCTGACGTAAGATAGTGTTATCTGCTGACTACTTCACGGACACGGACACGCCACTCCCAGTGCGATGTACACGTCGCATAGTGATATTGACAAGGTAATAGCTTGCACCCAGGGACTCTGGTCCTTTAGACTCAATGCAATATACTTCTCATCTGGAGAAAAAAAAACAGCTTTAATCGACAGAGACATCAATAAAGTCCGTTATCTCTCTGGAATGGAAACAAAGATAAATGCAATGTCTGTTGTTTCCATAAAAACGTCGTGCACACATCTCATACCCTGAAATTATTTTAGTCAAACTATTTAACACTTGGGACAGAGAGGTCATTTGTCGGAAGCCGAATCAACAAACGTCTATTCAGCAGTCTAGTCAAAGATTGTTTGGGTTCAGCGGGTGCAACGATAACGTAGCTATGAACTGTTAGTGGATTTTACTGCCGCTTTACATGTGCCATAGCGACCACAACAGGGATATAGTGGCCTACACTGTCCACAGTTTCATAAAACCTCATTTACTGCGATAAGCGTCTGGTTAACACTAAAACGAATGGCGATTTATATCCGGAATAAGAGTTAGTTGATACGTGTATTCTTGTTTGGGGAAACATACTGAATGTGATTTACGAATATATTTCTATTCCGTCCCCAAAAGATAACCCACATCAAATTCTACATTAAGATTTTCTTTAGGAGTTTGTTCGTCCCCTCCATAACACTGCCATTGGCGCTCTTTACGAACGGGATTGAAATAAACAAGCCATCTAGTGCAGGTGACATTGATCTTTTAACTCGTAAGAGGCGACTAACGGGATCGGGTGATCAGGCCCGCTGACATGGTTGATGCATGTCATCGTATCCCAATTACGTAGATCGATGCTCATGGTGTCAATCACTGGATTATTTACAGACAGCCGTCATATAGCTGAAATATTGCTGAGTGCGGCGTTAAACAACAAACAAAACTGTTATCGATACATATAGAAAATTAGCCGAGTGTGTTTCTGTTTCAGTATCATTTGTTCAGAATAAAATTTATTATGCAAGCCTTTGTTGCTGAAATTCCTAATACATGATATCTACGGAAACGCACAAGGGTAATGGTCTCGTTGTCATATAACTTTGTTCTTAAAATAAGGGATGTTTTAAGGTGTTTTAAGGTGTAAATGAAGAATCTGCGTGTGAATATAATGTTTGACTGAACCGCGTATGGCCCAAAATAAATTACCTACACCCATGTTTGTCTCCAGAAGGACGGCGGCACATTGGGATACCCATTTTCATTTCCGAAAGGTTAGTCATTTGTATATTGAGAAAGAAGGCAGTGTATGGAGTGTATCAGAGTATGGGCTTGAAAGTAGTTCATGCAAGGCGATCTCATTTCCATATTTATCGGATCGTAATACCATACCAAGTTTATGGTTAGCGTTATCGCATGAAACCACTAACCAGTATTTGAGAAACTTGTGACCGCCCATAAGGGACATGGAAACGTTCTGGAAATTGTTTTTCGAGCGTCAAACGTTCTCCTTTGAACTAGAAAAGCAAACAGAAAAAGGGAGACTGGACATAGAAGGAAATGCCTGATTATTACTAAAAACTTATGAAACAAACATGAAACATGAAAAATCAAATTAAAATCACGAAAAGTCAAATGAAAACTGAAACTATACTAACGGAAAACAGTAACTGTGCTTAATGTAAAATACAATAAATATAAATATATTCTGCAATTCAATAATGCATCTTTCAATGCATATTTATGAAGACATATCCTCGATTTCGCCATTCACAGTTTGCACGTTCATGTTAATGCATTGCTCACAATTTGGATGTTTACGTATTTGTTGATACTCACACATGTGTATTTACTAATGTGAACAGCTCACAATGATAGTTTAGCTATCAGGTACTCAGAAAAAAATTCGTTTAACCGTAAACAAAGCTTACGCAATGTCACGGCTTGCTGAAAACCAACATCTACGCGCCGTGGGTATGCTGCAAAGAGGAATAGCGCATAACGAAGGTGCCAGACATGTTAATGTTCATCGAAACACAATGTCGTGTCTTTGGAGACGTTATCTACAGCAGGGAAACACTCATGACTTGCGACGGGCCGGTCGCCCACGTGTGACGTCACGTCAACAAGACAACCATATTCGGTCAGTGCATCTACGGAATCGATACTAAACTGCTACATCATTACCTCGGACAATTCCTGGGCTGAGACCAATTAGTGACAGAACCGTACGCAACTGGTTGAGGGGGGCTCAACATCCGGCCCCGACGTTCTGCGATATGCCCCAAATTGCTTCCACGTCACCGTTAGACACGCCTAGCTTGGTGTTGACAACATCTGAGGTTCCGAAGACAAGACGTGGACAGTAGACTTTTCATAAATGAGTCCAGGTTTCATATGGACAGCTCTAATGGTCGTGCAGGGTCTACGGTCTCTTTGTAAACAGGCAACCTGAATGGCGTACGCTGCCGGGACGACATAGTTCGAGGTCACGTTCTACCCTGTAAATGCAGGGACGTAACTACACGTTGCAGCAGGATAATGCCCGCCCACACGTCTTTCAGGGGCAGCAAACATTGCTGTAATGCTATGGCCGAGTGTTTCTCGAGACCCCTCCGCCAAAGAATAAGATGGAACGAATACTACGACAGGACCAGAAACAGCCGGTAACGCCAGCTCATTTAGGTAAATCTATGGTTGACAATATCCCCCAGGCTGTTTTCAGTGCGCCGCCGCCTCGCCTACATCAACGCAAATGGTGGTCACACCCGATATTGACATTGGTAATTGAGTTGTTACACCACCTCTCCTTTAGGGCGTGTTGCTCTGTCTCCTTACACCCTACTGGGGTTATTATTGTGGAGCGACCATTTGATATTCTTGGGAGGTGGGGGCCTGGGAATTTATCGAAAAATATATTGTCCCCAAACATTCTTGAAAAAAGTATTTCCATTGTTGTAAGGTGATTTTCTTAAAACATAATTCATTATTTTGAATAATAAAAAGATCTGGTTTGTAGCTGTAGCTGCAGAAACATATTTTCATATATTATCCCTTATCTAATTAGCCTTCAGTGCAGCCTCCGTTGCAGCAGTGTTGCAAGTTGCCTTTGATTTACACTAAAGCACTGAACGCAATGGAAGTATCGCTGCGGCGGGGAATGATATAATAAACATCCTCTGATGAATGGAGATATATGACAAGAAGTGTTTTAGGGATGGTCCCTTATCTAAATGTCTCCCACTTCCACTGTTGCCGACCCTGGCACGAACGTTCTTCAGCGTCCTGTTGAGGGAACAGAAAAGTTTGAAGTGACCATTGTAATCCGCGTTACAATATTCATCGATCACCACAGGTGACAAGAATGTCTTATTGAAGGCCAATCTGGAACAAACGGAACAAATTCTAATACACCCGATGGAACACTTGTTTATGCAAGACCAGCTCATGACACACTTTTCCCGCTACTCAATGAAACTAGTGGTTAGAGTACTCATAACAAACATTCATTAGACACTTGAATACAACAACAGATTTATCACGTCCTCCTTTGTATCAACGAACTATTATTCATTAACTGCATATTGGACCTCCTTATAATTAGTTGCTATAATAGTTCATATTGAACTGATGTTTTATATTCTTGTGAAAAATGAAGAGATTCCTACAATTTGCCTTTGTGTTACATGTTGTGTCACCAGCTGGACCAATAGATAGCCTGGTGACCACACTGAAGGGCTTAAGCAGGAACAAGCCAGATTTATCTGTTCGGCTAACAAAACATTTAAGAGTTTCTGGGGTGTGTACCCTGCTCCACACAGAGACATGATCAGTGCATTTGTTCCATTGTGTCCAAGTGCATCAATTTTATACACACATTCACTAAGATTACATGGATCTAAATATAACAAGAGGGACTGATCTACGCATTTCAGATGTATATGTAAACTGGCCAGCACTTGAATCACCAGCATTGTCGTGTAACATTTGTTTGTAATGTGGTTGCTACCATATAGCACCGAGGAGACTGCTTGGTGGTAGACTCCCTAAGGATTTGGGAAAGACTATGTATACCAAATGATCGTTAACCAGGTGTGATGCAATGTCCAGTGCTAAGTGCATGCCCCTTCGTGATGTGGAGTCTTGCGTTATACAATCTGCGTGCCCCTCCATTGGTCACTCTTTATGTGACCAACTTGTTTAATGCTTCTGTAGTTTTGTAGTATGTTCCTAATGATTTGCTGAAGTAAAGTCTTAACAGATACAGACTTCTGACACGGTGGTACATTAAAAAACACATTAGCATTGCGCAAACATTTCAATGTGCTTATTGGCCACCATATAAACTCTTTATCCAATGCTAACGTGAACGATAATGCAACGTCAGGTTGGCCGTTACCCTCCACCAAAGTTTAATCTAAACCCCCATTGCCTCCACACGTGCCGATGACCAAGCAATGTGGTTGTCCTACGTCAATTTTGTCACATGACAGGGCCCTATAACATTGTGCTATAGCTCTGGACAAGACCAAGTTCATCATCAGTGTTGGTCCAAGCTTCGTCAGTGTCCAAGCTAGCTATGCAACTCAAAGGAAAAACAGCATTTCTCACTGGGGGTGTCGGGGGAATTGGCGTAGCATTTGCCCGTGCGTTGTTGGAAAAAGGCTGCAAGGTAAAGACATGCATTGACATACAGCAAAAACCCTTTAATCCTGTTAACAGTGTTCGTGTGAGCCGGTACACACACACACACACACACACACACACACACACACACACACACACACACACACACACACACACACACACACACACACACACACACATACACATACACGTTCTAAATATGTCGCTTTGTGTATGGTTGACAATATTTATGTTGGTCTATCTCAGGTGTGTATTACCGATGTCAACGCAGATGGTGGAAAGAAGCTGGAGGCAGAGCTGAAGCAGAAGTACCAAGATGACGTCGTGTTTATGCAGTGTGACGTCACTTGTGCCAGCAACATGGAAGGTGAAGAACGTCACGTGACCCAGTGCCCGGGCTGTACATATGCACCATTTCCGAGTGAATAGTTGAATGTGATTATTCATATAAAACTTAGGACTGACTCCGCCGTCTATTGGAAAGTGCGTAGGTCCAGAGAGCGGAAGGTCGGTTGTTCGATCCCCTGGCCGCGTCATATCTAAAGATGTCAAGAGAAGGTACTTGTTACTACCCTGCCTAGCGCATTGCATTAATGGGATAAAACAAGGACTGATCGGCTCAAAGTCAGTATAATGTGCCTGAGTTAGGTATCCATGTTAAACTGCAAGATTGTATAAGTGAGGACAAGTACAAAAAGCAAAACAAGTGCATAGAAGTTTAAACCTTCACAAACGTGCATGCTAGTACAAACAGCCACACATGTGCATACAAGTAGAAACAGTCACACACGTGCATACAAGTACAAACAGTCACATACGTGCATACAAGTACAAACAGCCACACAGGTGCATACAAGTACAAACAGTCACACACGTGCATACAAGTACAAACAGTCACATACGTGCATACAAGTACAAACAGCCACACAGGTGCATACAAGTACAAACAGTCACACACGTACATACAAGTGCAAACAGTCACATACGTGCATACAAGTACAAACAGTCACACGAGTGCATACAAGTACAAACAGCCACACACGTGCATACAAGTACAAACAGTCATACACATGCATACACGTACAAACAGCCACACAGGTCCATACAAGTAAAAACTGTCACACTAGTGCATACAAGTACAAACAGTCACATACGTGCATACAAGTAAAAACTGTCACACTAGTGCATACAAGTACAAACAGTCACATACGTGCATACAAGTACAAACAGTCACATACGTGCATACAAGTACAAACAGTCACACACGTGCATACAAGCACAAACAGTCACACACGTGCATGAAAGTAAAAACAGCCACACATGTGCAAACAATTACAAACAGCCACACAGGTGCATGCAAGTACAAACAGCCACACACGTGCATGCAAGTACAAACAACAACAACAACAACAACTAAGCCGATCAGTCCCTGATTTGTCCCCTTAATGCAGAGCACGGTCAGGGAAACACTGCGACAGCGGATTGAACGCCTGACGTTCCGCTTTCCGGACAGACGCTCTATCCACGAGACAGGTAAAATACAGAGCTAAATATGCATTTGGAGAAAACAAGCTACAAAACATGCAACATATGTGTATTGAATCCCACAACAAACAAAAGACAAATATCCATACATTTAGAACAAAAACGTCCGAGTAATGGCCATAAATGCGATTGTGACTGGGAACCTCTCAAACAAATTCAGGCGTCACCATTGGTGGAAACAAGTAAATGTTTCATTGTTTCAGTGGTTTCTGAGAATATAAGAGCAAACATGAGTGCGTGAGTGAGTTGGATTTAACTCCGCTTTTAACAGTAATCCAGTTACATCACGGCGTGTCAGCTTAATGTGGGAGGAAAGCCCGAAGTGATGCAGGTCTCAGACGTTTACCACTTCGGTGAAACCCACGAGCACGGGTATGGTGCTGACAAACCTAGAAACATAATCGGGGCGAACCGGGATTCGAACCCACAATCATAGGTTTTCAGGCGTGCCCAAGGGACGCAACTCTGCACAGCGAATCGCGGCGCCTTAGACGACTGGGCCACCCGTGCATACATGAAGAGCATACATGAAGAGGTCAAGCTATGCCCAAAATGTGAAATATCACGAAAACCGGACATTGTTGTGCCCCATTGATAACTAAGCATACACAACATTTCACTACGTTTTGAAAATAATTGAGAAAGTTCAGCTTTAAGTATGGTAAAGTTCAAATCCAGGTCAACATTTAATCTATGTTTGTTTATTTGTTGATACAGAAGTTTTCAAGACGGCGGTGGTTCGGTTCGGCGGTGTGGACATCATGCTGAACAACGCCGGCATCATGCACGAGGGACGCTGGGAGGCCATGATCAGCATCATGATGGTCAGTCACGTGGTCGGCTGTGTGAACGTATAAGCAGAGTTAGTCAATCGCTATCCAAATTCCCACCAAACCCTGTATTATCATACAGTTGTAATTACAGCGTGGCACTGTGATCGGGACGAACCTAGCCATAGCTCACATGAGGAAGGATAAAGGGGGTAGAGGAGGGACCATTATCAACACCGCCTCTTGTGCAGGTGAGCTAACTGGACGATGACACGTTTACATAAAATTCAAATCATCACCACGCTATTCCGACTGATCGGACAACGACCGGTAGAATACATATGGCATATTTACTTCGGATAAATACATTGAATAGCAATCGCTTTATCAATATTTCACAGTATTAGGTTGGTTTGATGTCTTATCATTACTCATTTTATCGAAAGCACGTTAAATTACCTTCACCAAATAACGTCATGACAAGTTTTCTCTTATGCAAACTAAAGTCATGTCAAGTTTAAAAGGAATAAATGAAAATCAAAAAATGCTGATCCCACGAAGGGTTAAATGGTGTGTTGCAGGTATCTACGTGTATTTTACCACGCCCGTCTACTGTGCTGCCAAATCCGGCATCGTCGCCCACACGCGTGCATGGGCGGTAAGACCCAAGTGGATATTATTTTACGCCGATTTTACTTCGGGCTGTAATCCGTTGAGTCAATTCTAAAAAAAACATATGGTTGATAGCCAGGCTACACACTGTATCCACCCACTTTAACCTGATCTTTATCATGTCCACACCAGAACCAGTAGTTGCACACACTGAATTTCATGCCATGGGTGTCATAAGTTGTATTTGGCCTGATCAATTAAATGTTCTCAGGGAAAGACATGTTTAACCCATGCTATACCAAATCTACATATAGATATAGAGTAAGTTTTCTATTTACCATACTATAGAGAGTAATATATGTGCTGAAAGTTCTTCAGCTACATGAGTGTTGTGTATTTATTTCCCCACCTCCACAGATCGCTTTCGTGGTATAGTTGTAGAGCGGAAGGTCGGGGGTTCGATCCCCGGATGCGTCATATAAAAAGACGCGGCGTTTAACCCCATTTCACCTCACCTCACCTCACTTCACCTCACCTTTCCTCACCTCACCTTCCCCATCGCCGCAACTACCATATAATTACAGTCGATGTAAACTTATCAAAAGTGAGTTGGTGAGTGATTGTTGCATAACACGTATCACCAGTCTTGGAACTGTACTCAGACAGATGGATCAACTGCTCTACTTCAGGACATCCCTGACAGGGAACAGCTCGGCCTGCGGTTCGCTTGTATCTGTCCGAAGCCAGTGGACACTCCCCTGATGGACATCACGCGAGAGAGCGTGAATTACTTCCAGTACGAGTATGATGTGTGTCAACAGATAGGGAGGATGACGTAAGTTTGTCCCGAGAGCTGATACATCACTTATAGGCGTGTCTGCTTGAATACACATCTCCGCCCAGCAGATACATCACACACAGCCGAGTCTGCTTGAAGACTCATCTCCACTCAACAGATACATCACACACAGCCGAGTCTGCTTGAAGACACATCTCCACTCAACAGATACATCACATATAGGCGTGTATGCTTGAAGACACATCTCCACTCAACAGATACATCACATATAGGCGTGTATGCTTGAAGACACATCTCCACTCAACAGATACATCACATATAGGCGTGTATGCTTGAAGACACATCTCCACTCAACAGATACATCACATATAGGCGTGTATGCTTGAAGATCCATCTCCACTCAACAGATACATCACATATAGGCGTGTATGCTTGAAGACACATCTCCACTCAACAGATACATCACATATAGGCGTGTATGCTTGAAGACACATCTCCACTCAACAGATACATCACATATAGGCGTGTATGCTTGAAGACACATCTCCACTCAACAGATACATCACATATAGGCGTGTATGCTTGAAGATCAATCTCCACTCAACAGATACATCACATATAGGCGTGTATGCTTGAAGACACATCTCCACTCAACAGATACATCACATATAGGCGTGTATGCTTGAAGACACATCTCCACTCAACAGATACATCACATATAGGCGTGTATGCTTGAAGACACATCTCCACTCAACAGATACATCACATATAGGCGTGTATGCTTGAAGATCCATCTCCACTCAACAGATACATCACATATAGGCGTGTATGCTTGAAGACACATCTCCACTCAACAGATACATGACATATAGGCGTGTATGCTTGAAGACACATCTCCACTCAACAGATACATCACTTATAGGCGTGTATGCTTGAAGACACATCTCCACTCAACAGATACATCACATATAGGCGTGTATGCTTGAAGATCCATCTCCACTCAACAGATACATCACACACAGCCGAGTCTGCTTGAAGATCCATCTCCACTCAACAGATACATCACATATAGGCGTGTATGCTTGAAGACACATCTCCACTCAACAGATACATCACACACAGCCGAGTCTGCTTGAAGGCACATCTCCACTCAACAGATACATCACATATAGGCGTGTATGCTTGAAGACACATCTCCACCCAACAGATACATCACACACAGCCGAGTCTGCTTGAAGACACATCTCCACTCAACAGATACATCACATATAGGCGTGTATGCTTGAAGATCCATCTCCACTCAACAGATACATCACATATAGGCGTGTATGCTTGAAGACACATCTCCACTCAACAGATACATCACATATAGGCGTGTATGCTTGAAGACACATCTCCACTCAACAGATACATCACATATAGGCGTGTATGCTTGAAGACACATCTCCACTCAACAGATACATCACATATAGGCGTGTATGCTTGAAGACACATCTCCACTCAACAGATACATCACATATAGGCGTGTATGCTTGAAGATCCATCTCCACTCAACAGATACATCACATATAGGCGTGTATGCTTGAAGACACATCTCCACTCAACAGATACATCACATATAGGCGTGTATGCTTGAAGACACATCTCCACTCAACAGATACATCACATATAGGCGTGTATGCTTGAAGACACATCTCCACTCAACAGATACATCACATATAGGCGTGTATGCTTGAAGATCAATCTCCAACCAACAGATACATCACATATAGGCGTGTATGCTTGAAGACACATCTCCACTCAACAGATACATCACATATAGGCGTGTATGCTTGAAGACACATCTCCACTCAACAGATACATCACATATAGGCGTGTATGCTTGAAGACACATCTCCACTCAACAGATACATCACATATAGGCGTGTATGCTTGAAGATCCATCTCCACTCAACAGATACATCACATATAGGCGTGTATGCTTGAAGACACATCCCCACTCAACAGATACATGACATATAGGCGTGTATGCTTGAAGACACATCTCCACTCAACAGATACATCACTTATAGGCGTGTATGCTTGAAGACACATCTCCACTCAACAGATACATCACATATAGGCGTGTATGCTTGAAGATCCATCTCCACTCAACAGATACATCACACACAGCCGAGTCTGCTTGAAGATCCATCTCCACTCAACAGATACATCACATATAGGCGTGTATGCTTGAAGACACATCTCCACTCAACAGATACATCACACACAGCCGAGTCTGCTTGAAGGCACATCTCCACTCAACAGATACATCACATATAGGCGTATATGCTTGAAGACACATCTCCACCCAACAGATACATCACACACAGCCGAGTCTGCTTGAAGACACATCTCCACTCAACAGATACATCACATATAGGCGTGTATGCTTGAAGATCCATCTCCACTCAACAGATACATCACATATAGGCGTGTATGCTTGAAGACACATCTCCACTCAACAGATACATCACATATAGGCGTGTATGCTTGAAGACACATCTCCACTCAACAGATACATCACATATAGGCGTGTATGCTTGAAGACACATCTCCACTCAACAGATACATCACATATAGGCGTGTATGCTTGAAGATCAATCTCCACTCAACAGATACATCACATATAGGCGTGTATGCTTGAAGACACATCTCCACTCAACAGATACATCACATATAGGCGTGTATGCTTGAAGACACATCTCCACTCAACAGATACATCACATATAGGCGTGTATGCTTGAAGACACATCTCCACTCAACAGATACATCACATATAGGCGTGTATCCTTGAAGATCCATCTCCACTCAACAGATACATCACATATAGGCGTGTATGCTTGAAGACACATCTCCACTCAACAGATACATCACATATAGGCGTGTATGCTTGAAGACACATCTCCACTCAACAGATACATCACTTATAGGCGTGTATGCTTGAAGACACATCTCCACTCAACAGATACATCACATATAGGCGTGTATGCTTGAAGATCCATCTCCACTCAACAGATACATCACACACAGCCGAGTCTGCTTGAAGATCCATCTCCACTCAACAGATACATCACATATAGGCGTGTATGCTTGAAGACACATCTCCACTCAACAGATACATCACACACAGCCGAGTCTGCTTGAAGGCACATCTCCACTCAACAGATACATCACATATAGGCGTGTATGCTTGAAGACACATCTCCACCCAACAGATACATCACACACAGCCGAGTCTGCTTGAAGACACATCTCCACTCAACAGATACATCACATATAGGCGTGTATGCTTGAAGATCCATCTCCACTCAACAGATACATCACATATAGGCGTGTATTCTTGAAGACACATCTCCACTCAACAGATACATCACATACAGGCGTGTATGCTTGAAGACACATCTCCACTCAACAGATACATCACATATAGGCGTGTATGCTTGAAGACACATCTCCACTCAACAGATACATCACATATAGGCGTGTATGCTTGAAGACACATCTCCACTCAACAGATACATCACATATAGGCGTGTATGCTTGAAGATCCATCTCCACTCAACAGAAACATCACATATAGGCGTGTATGCTTGAAGACACATCTCCACTCAACAGATACATTACATATAGGCGTGTATGCTTGAAGACACATCTCCACTCAACAGATACATCACATATAGGCGTGTATGCTTGAAGACACATCTCCACTCAACAGATACATCACACACAGCCGAGTCTGCTTGAAGGCACATCTCCACTCAACAGATACATCACATATAGGCGTGTATGCTTGAAGACACATCTCCACCCAACAGATACATCACACACAGCCGAGTCTGCTTGAAGACACATCTCCACTCAACAGATACATCACATATAGGCGTGTATGCTTGAAGATCAATCTCCAACCAACAGATACATCACATATAGGCGTGTATGCTTGAAGACACATCTCCACTCAACAGATACATCACATATAGGCGTGTATGCTTGAAGACACATCTCCACTCAACAGATACATCACATATAGGCGTGTATGCTTGAAGACACATCTCCACTCAACAGATACATCACATATAGGCGTGTATGCTTGAAGATCCATCTCCACTCAACAGATACATCACATATAGGCGTGTATGCTTGAAGACACATCCCCACTCAACAGATACATGACATATAGGCGTGTATGCTTGAAGACACATCTCCACTCAACAGATACATCACTTATAGGCGTGTATGCTTGAAGACACATCTCCACTCAACAGATACATCACATATAGGCGTGTATGCTTGAAGATCCATCTCCACTCAACAGATACATCACACACAGCCGAGTCTGCTTGAAGATCCATCTCCACTCAACAGATACATCACATATAGGCGTGTATGCTTGAAGACACATCTCCACTCAACAGATACATCACACACAGCCGAGTCTGCTTGAAGGCACATCTCCACTCAACAGATACATCACATATAGGCGTATATGCTTGAAGACACATCTCCACCCAACAGATACATCACACACAGCCGAGTCTGCTTGAAGACACATCTCCACTCAACAGATACATCACATATAGGCGTGTATGCTTGAAGATCCATCTCCACTCAACAGATACATCACATATAGGCGTGTATGCTTGAAGACACATCTCCACTCAACAGATACATCACATATAGGCGTGTATGCTTGAAGACACATCTCCACTCAACAGATACATCACATATAGGCGTGTATGCTTGAAGACACATCTCCACTCAACAGATACATCACATATAGGCGTGTATGCTTGAAGATTAATCTCCACTCAACAGATACATCACATATAGGCGTGTATGCTTGAAGACACATCTCCACTCAACAGATACATCACATACAGGCGTGTATGCTTGAAGACACATCTCCACTCAACAGATACATCACATATAGGCGTGTATGCTTGAAGACACATCTCCACTCAACAGATACATCACATATAGGCGTGTATGCTTGAAGATCCATCTCCACTCAACAGATACATCACATATAGGCGTGTATGCTTGAAGACACATCTCCACTCAACAGATACATGACATATAGGCGTGTATGCTTGAAGACACATCTCCACTCAACAGATACATCACTTATAGGCGTGTATGCTTGAAGACACATCTCCACTCAACAGATACATCACATATAGGCGTGTATGCTTGAAGATCCATCTCCACTCAACAGATACATCACACACAGCCGAGTCTGCTTGAAGATCCATCTCCACTCAACAGATACATCACATATAGGCGTGTATGCTTGAAGACACATCTCCACTCAACAGATACATCACACACAGCCGAGTCTGCTTGAAGGCACATCTCCACTCAACAGATACATCACATATAGGCGTGTATGCTTGAAGACACATCTCCACCCAACAGATACATCACACACAGCCGAGTCTGCTTGAAGACACATCTCCACTCAACAGATACATCACATATAGGCGTGTATGCTTGAAGATCCATCTCCACTCAACAGATACATCACATATAGGCGTGTATGCTTGAAGACACATCTCCACTCAACAGATACATCACATACAGGCGTGTATGCTTGAAGACACATCTCCACTCAACAGATACATCACATATAGGCGTGTATGCTTGAAGACACATCTCCACTCAACAGATACATCACATATAGGCGTGTATGCTTGAAGACACATCTCCACTCAACAGATACATCACATATAGGCGTGTATGCTTGAAGATCCATCTCCACTCAACAGAAACATCACATATAGGCGTGTATGCTTGAAGACACATCTCCACTCAACAGATACATTACATATAGGCGTGTATGCTTGAAGACACATCTCCACTCAACAGATACATCACATATAGGCGTGTATGCTTGAAGACACATCTCCACTCAACAGATACATCACATATAGGCGTGTATGCTTGAAGATCAATCTCCACTCAACAGATACATCACATATAGGCGTGTATGCTTGAAGACACATCTCCACTCAACAGATACATCACATATAGGCGTGTATGCTTGAAGACACATCTCCACTCAACAGATACATCACATATAGGCGTGTATGCTTGAAGACACATCTCCACTCAACAGATACATCACATATAGGCGTGTATGCTTGAAGATCCATCTCCACTCAACAGATACATCACATATAGGCGTGTATGCTTGAAGACACATCTCCACTCAACAGATACATGACATATAGGCGTGTATGCTTGAAGACACATCTCCACTCAACAGATACATCACTTATAGGCGTGTATGCTTGAAGACACATCTCCACTCAACAGATACATCACATATAGGCGTGTATGCTTGAAGATCCATCTCCACTCAACAGATACATCACACACAGCCGAGTCTGCTTGAAGATCCATCTCCACTCAACAGATACATCACATATAGGCGTGTATGCTTGAAGACACATCTCCACTCAACAGATACATCACACACAGCCGAGTCTGCTTGAAGGCACATCTCCACTCAACAGATACATCACATATAGGCGTGTATGCTTGAAGACACATCTCCACCCAACAGATACATCACACACAGCCGAGTCTGCTTGAAGACACATCTCCACTCAACAGATACATCACATATAGGCGTGTATGCTTGAAGATCCATCTCCACTCAACAGATACATCACATATAGGCGTGTATGCTTGAAGACACATCTCCACTCAACAGATACATCACATATAGGCGTGTATGCTTGAAGACACATCTCCACTCAACAGATACATCACATATAGGCGTGTATGCTTGAAGACACATCTCCACTCAACAGATACATCACATATAGGCGTGTATGCTTGAAGACACATCTCCACTCAACAGATACATCACATATAGGCGTGTATGCTTGAAGATCCATCTCCACTCAACAGAAACATCACATATAGGCGTGTATGCTTGAAGACACATCTCCACTCAACAGATACATTACATATAGGCGTGTATGCTTGAAGACACATCTCCACTCAACAGATACATCACATATAGGCGTGTATGCTTGAAGACACATCTCCACTCAACAGATACATCACATATAGGCGTGTATGCTTGAAGATCAATCTCCACTCAACAGATACATCACATATAGGCGTGTATGCTTGAAGACACATCTCCACTCAACAGATACATCACATATAGGCGTGTATGCTTGAAGACACATCTCCACTCAACAGATACATCACATATAGGCGTGTATGCTTGAAGACACATCTCCACTCAACAGATACATCACATATAGGCGTGTATGCTTGAAGACACATCTCCACTCAACAGATACATCACTTATAGGCGTGTATGCTTGAAGACACATCTCCACTCAACAGATACATCACATATAGGCGTGTATGCTTGAAGATCCATCTCCACTCAACAGATACATCACACACAGCCGAGTCTGCTTGAAGATCCATCTCCACTCAACAGATACATCACATATAGGCGTGTATGCTTGAAGACACATCTCCACTCAACAGATACATCACACACAGCCGAGTCTGCTTGAAGGCACATCTCCACTCAACAGATACATCACATATAGGCGTGTATGCTTGAAGACACATCTCCACCCAACAGATACATCACACACAGCCGAGTCTGCTTGAAGACACATCTCCACTCAACAGATACATCACATATAGGCGTGTATGCTTGAAGATCCATCTCCACTCAACAGATACATCACATATAGGCGTGTATGCTTGAAGACACATCTCCACTCAACAGATACATCACATATAGGCGTGTATGCTTGAAGACACATCTCCACTCAACAGATACATCACATATAGGCGTGTATGCTTGAAGACACATCTCCACTCAACAGATACATCACATATAGGCGTGTATGCTTGAAGACACATCTCCACTCAACAGATACATCACATATAGGCGTGTATGCTTGAAGATCCATCTCCACTCAACAGATACATCACATATAGGCGTGTATGCTTGGAGACACATCTCCACTCAACAGATACATCACACACAGCCGAGTCTGCTTGAAGACACATCTCCACTCAACAGATACATCACATATAGGCGTGTATGCTTGAAGACACATCTCCACCCAACAGATACATCACACACAGCCGAGTCTGCTTGAAGACACATCTCCACTCAACAGATACATCACACACAGCCGAGTCTGCTTGAAGACACATCTCCACTCAACAGATACATCACATATAGGCGTGTATGCGTGAAGATCCATCTCCACTCAACAGATACATCTAATATAGGCGTGTATGCTTGAAGATCCATCTCCACCAAACAGATACATCACACACAGCCGTGTCTGCTTGAAGACACATCTCCACCAAACAGATACATCACACACAGCCGTGTCTGCTTGAAGAATCTCCACTCAACAGATACATCACATATAGGCGTGTATGCTTGAAGATCCATCTCCACCAAACAGATACATCACAGACAGCTGTGTCTGCTTGAAGAATCTCCACTCAACAGATACATCACATATAGGCGTGTATGCTTGAAGACACATCTCCACCAAACAGTTAATCACACACAGCCGAGTCTGCTTGAAGACACATCTCCACCAAAAAGATACATCACACACAGCCGTGTCTGCTTGAAGACACATCTCCACCAAACAGATACATCACACACAGCCGTGTCTGCTTGAAGTCACATCTCCACCAAACAGATGCATCACACACAGCCGTTTCTGCTTGAAGACACATCTCCACCAAACAGATGCATCACACACATCCGTGTCTGCTGGAGATTTACCACCCTGTAGAATCACTTTACCACCCTGTAGCATCACTTTACCACACTGTAGCATCACTTTACCACCCTGTAGCATCACTTCACCACCCTGTAGCATCACTTCACCACCCTGTAGCATCACTTTACCACACAGTAGCATCACTTTACCACCCTGTAGCATTCTTCACCACACTGTAGCATCACTTCACCACCCTGTAGCATCACTTTACCACCCTGTAGCATCACTTCACCACCCTGTAGCATCACTTTACCACCCTGTAGCCTCACTTCACCACCCTGTAGCATCACTTTACCACCTTGTAGCATCACTTTACCACCCTGTAGCATCACTTCACCACCCTGTAGCATCACTTTACCACCCTGTAGCATCACTTCACCACCCTGTAGCATCACTTTACCACCCTGTAGCATCACTTTACCACCCTGTAGCATTCTTCACCACCCTGTCGCATTCTTCACCACCCAGTAGCATTCTTCACCACCCTGTAGCATCACTTTACCACACTGTAGCATCACTTTACCACCCTGTAGCATCACTTTACCACCCTGTAGCATTCTTCACCACCCTGTAGCATCACTTCACCACCCTGTAGCATCACTTCACCACCCTGTAGCATCACTTCACCCCCCTTTAACATTCTTCACCACCCAGTTCACAAACTGCACCACCCTATAGTTTCACTTGACAACCCCGCATTCACTTGTTTGCTCAATCTGCCACTGTTGCCAGGACGGAGACCATAGCCGAGGGCCTTGTTGGCCTCTTGGAAGATGACAGCAGTAACGGGGCTATCCTCTACATCTCCAAGGACGAGGGCTTTGCCAGGAAGAAGATCTTGGTCGTCAATGAGTCTGATCTGAAGCATGCCTAGAGGATTGACTGCAAGGACATATTTCTAAGTGGGGCCTGATTTTCACAAAAGACCTTGGTAAAGAGAGGTCGTGAGTAAATAATTCCTTCTACGTATAGGAAAACTATCCTGATAAACATGAACGTGTGTATGAATAATAAACAGTATATTGTGTTGCCAGGTACTAAGGTTCATGTTATGTTGTCTTGACTGTCGGAAGAACTTGTCGGGTGTCTGTATGTATGGCCTCATGGATTGATAGGTTTCTCTCTGTATTACAGGTGACAATAGCCCCAACTACAATGCTTCAATTTCACACATGGCACTAATTACAAAGTGAAGAGTTAGATAGGGAATGGACACCAGACGCTGGCACATAGTGTTGTGGGAAAGTCATGCAGGCCACAGACCTTTACCACTTTGGTGCTGACAAATCAGGAATCATAATCAGGTTGAATCTGGGATCTGAGCCACACTTTGCCGTGGCTCCGGGGCACATATCTGTGTAGCAGCCTTAGATGACCGGGACACATATGGCCTCCTAAAATGTTACAGCTAAATATGCTTATAGATGTGACAGGAGAAAATTGGTTTCTTCCAATATAAATTGTGAACGAATTCCTTTTTATATTTTTTCTCTAGGGTCTTTATCTACAGACAGTTTATTCTATACCTTAGGCCATATTCTAATATGACAAACAAAATGTTATGGACTATTATCGTAGGCAGTTTGGCAGAGTATAGGTTTTATCGGGGAATATATATATATATATATATATATATATATATATATATATATATATATATATATATATATATATATGTCCTATATATTCCCTGAGTTAAATAAGTTAAATATATAAATAGATAAATATTCACATCGTTGCCCAAATCAAATTATAACACCAGCTGGGCTATTATTACTATGGCCCACAGCACAGAGTCATTTGCAGGTCAGTGGCTCCTAATTAGTGCCAGAGAATGGCCGGTTGGTCACTGAAGCTTGACATTGTGGATGAGGTGCGGGATACTGCAGGCTGACGAGAGAGGTATCGTATTCGATACGTGGCAGCTGGTTAGTGATTTAACGAGATAAAATTAGAATACTTTCGGTTAGTCGGGACTTGACCCTCGGACAGCGGCTAGGCAGGTTGGCCCTCTGACGCCTCGGATATGCTGCCTGGCCATGTCTGTCCCATCACCACAATCGTGATTATGCACATGCGGTAACTGTTATACCACAAATAAAGTGTTGTGGACCCACTGATGGACTCCTGTGTTTGAAGGACAGATATCCCAAACGTAACAGCACGGGATACTATCCACGCTGAATTTTCGGATGGAGAATAATCATATTATGTTCTAGACATAGAGTTTTGTTTCTTATCTTTAGCACTTGATAAAGGAATTTACTTTATCATTTGATATTATGGATATTATTAGTTGACGTAAAAATCTTTTCTAGGCTGAGATTATCTGGGAATATATAATAATAGTACAAGGAGTCACACGGTCAAGGCCTCCAGCAAGGCAGAAGAAACAAAACCGTTCGGTATGTGGTCTTTGTATGGTGGCCACATTCGCCTGCAAGTCTCAAGTTATTACAAGGAACGATGGTTATAATTTTCCATTGATAAAAGATAAGATAATTGGTTACAAAGGTTTTAAAATTTAGAAAATGTACTGAGAAAAGTAATGCATTCAGATGAAGTGTTGAATGAGCGATGCAAATATTGAAGGAAGCAGTTATAAAATAACACTTTAGGTGGTCCTACTTTGCCTTGGAATTCCGTAAGGGAGACAAACATGGGGTGGTGGGGACCTACTCTGACCTGGAATCCCAACGGGAAGACATGCACAGAATAGTGGGGACCAACTTTGCTCTGGAATCCCCACATGGAGACAGGCATCCACCGGGGATCTACTCTTCCCTGGAATCATCACAAGGACACATGCATGTAGTATGGATGTGTCGATCAGACAATGATGTGACAATTGGTTTTGAAGTCTGCTCAGAATCAGGTGGACGGACGACCATTGGCATGGCCTGCTTTACCTAGGGTTCAGGCCTAGGACAGGTAAATATCACATCTGTCCAGACATTCTGCAGTGACTGTTGGTGTTGAATTGTTCACTGGAAACACCTCCGACTACTCAGAGTGGGTAACTATGCACGCCGAAACATCGTCCCTAGGAAGGGTCCTGCGTATGCGTAACCTAGGTGGAGACGATTCCACCGTCTCTCTTACCATTCCAAAGGACACAGCGTTGTCTCAGGAGGGACTGGGCGACTCTGTTGACAAATGGAACAGGTTTTAGCCTTTTCTTCCAGATCTACATCCATGTTCGAAACACTCTCAGGGGTTTGTGGTCCGATACAAATGTGAAATATCGTCAATAGATATTCATGTACTAATGAAGCTGTCTGGTTCTAGAGATGATAGCAAAGGCTTCACGACCCAGCTGTCAGGAATTCTTTTCAACTTAATGATCAAGAATCATTACCTATGTGCTTTTCTGTTTCATCCTCTATGGAAGCTGGTACTCACTTCTGTGGGGGATGAAAGTGTTCTTTCACCCTTTCAAAGGTCAAGAGCTCTTCCAACTTCTTTGTGTGAAGTCCGTTAAGGGGTACCAACGTTGATGACGAGTTAGGCAGGAACAGCTGGTGGTACTGGACTAAACCCAAGAAGCTGATATATTTTTAAGCTGTAGCTGTAGCTGTAGCTGATACCACAGCTTTTCTGATCCATTGGATGTAATCCATGTTTATCAATTTCGGGGTCTTCCGAAATTGCCATAAACTACATTGACCATTAAGACGCGAGCCTTACTTGCTCAACCTGTAAGAACAGTTTGGATGTTAACAACATGTTCCTGTTCTGTACAAATCAAGTGAAAATCATTGGGTAGATCGAAACTCGATGTCAATCGCTGGATTGGCTGGTCGAGACACGATTATTTACAAACCGCCATCATATGGATGCCGCATTAAACGACAACAAACAAGTTAAAATCACGAAAAATCACCTGAAACCTGAAACTATACTTCCGAAAAAAGTAGCTGTACTTCACATAAAGTTCAGCAAAAATATATTTAAAAGTTGTAATTACAAGTTGTAAAGGTGTATTTACAAGTTTCTCAAGGTGTAATTACAACTTGTAAAGGTGTAATTACAAGTTTAAAAAGTTTTAATTACAAGTTTAAAAAGTTGTAATTACAAGTTTAACCATTGAACTGCTTATAAATTCAGAATAAGGGGCAAATGAACATATCTTGGAGGGAGGACGTCTGTCCCAAATGGCATCAAGAAACATAAATAGAAAAGTGAAGTTGTATTATGATTCATGGCTTGCACCAACAGAAATAATGTGCTTTCTGGCATTAGCATACAATGTTGTTATCAGTAAACGAACTCTGAAAAGGGTTCTCCGTTGACTGAATCTTCGAAGAAGAAAGAACACACAGACTTGTTAGATGCTTCTTTATTCATTATTGAACAACTAAAAACATCCAAAATTGATTGTCCTCGTCCATATTTCTACGTCTGTCCTTCAGACAATACAGAACTTCAAATGTTTCGATCATTCAGTGAAATTTAACATTTCTAACTCATAATTACACCTTTTCAAACCTGTAATTACACCTTTCAAAACTTATTATTTCCATTTCTAAACTTGAAATTACACCTTAAAAACATGTAACTACAACTTTTTATAAGTCGTAATTACACCTTTTTAACTTGTAATTACACCTTTATAACTTGTAAATACACCTTTACAACTTGTAATTACAACTTTACAACTTGTAATTACAACTTTTAAATATATTTTTGCTGAACTTTATGTGAAGTACAGCTACTTTTTTCGGAAGTATAGTTTCAGGTTTCAGGTGATTTTTCGTGATTTTAACTTGTTTGTTGTCGTTTAATGCGGCATCCATATGATGGCGGTCTGTATCAATATCAATGAATTTGGCTTTCGTAAATATTCAATAATACATCTTTCAATACATCTTCATTCAGACATCGCCTCGACTTTAAGGTCGTGATTCACAACTTTCATTCGCATGTTTATGCAAGGCGCACATTTGGATGTTTGCCTGTTTGTACCAACACATGTGGGGTTTTATAATGCAAACAGCACACAATGATTATTTATCAGGTGCTCAGAAGAACACTTTTGTTTAACCGTAACGCTTACGCAGTGTCACGGCTTGCTGAAAACCAATATCTACATGCCCTCGGTATGCTGCAAAGAGGAATGGCGCATAACGAAGTTGCCAGACATTTTAATGTTCATCGAAACACAATATCGTGTCTTTGGAGACGTTATCTACAGCAGGGAAACACTCATGACTTGCGACGGGCCGGTCGCCCACGTGTGACCTCACGTCAACAAGACAAGCCATTTTGGATGGAACATCTACATAATCAATACCAAACGGCCACATTAACAGCTAGGACGATTCCTGGGTTGAGACCATGAGACCAATTACTGGCAGAACCGTACGCAACTGGTTGAGGGAGCACAACATCTGGCCCCAACGTTCAGCGATACGGGCGATTTTACTTCGGTGTCATCGTCAGTCAGTAGTATAGATGATGGGGATTCTGGACCACTTCCACTGGAGCCAGAATTATATACCTATACCACCACTACAGGGGGAATTTTTTATGTGTAAACGCTGATTCGCATCAACGATAATCATGAGTCAAAACTAAATTGTAATGATAATATTCTCTATTATTTTTATTCATATGAATACCATTATTTTTAACATAGTGATACTCAACATTTTTATTAGGTTCTTCATTCATTTTACTAGGAGACCTGACTATATACTCTTCTTGGTAATTGGAAAGAAACAATTGATGACCGTATTTGGTTGGTTTAACATCACTGATATAATATATACCTTGTGGTAATTCTCTCCATTTGGTAATTTTGTCCCTGAGCATAAATGTTTCGATAGCTTTTTCGAGTTCTTCCTTTGTTGGTTTGTAATTCTCCATTATTATATATTTATGTAAGCATTCGTCTAAATGAATGGATGATTTTTTATGTGGTGCGATCCAACGATAGTAAGCAATCTATTTTTAATCTCCAACCAGTTCTTTGGTTTTGGCACGGAATAATTGACGCGCTTGTTGTCTCCCTTGTTCTATGAACTTTTTTACCTCGTCTTTGCTAATACCACTGGTTTTACGAGAATTTGATCGAATCTCCTGCTTCATTACGTAGTATTTGGTGAGTTCTGACAGCACTTAACGAAACTCCTCCTCAGATATCTTACAATCAGCCATTGCTGTTGAAATATGATCCACAATGCTGATCAACTTTGCTTCGGTGAGTATCCGAATATTATCATGTTTTAATGCTTTCTTTTGCAACTTACGAGAAATGAATTTTATAGCTATTCCTGCCAGTCCTGAGACTCCAGCGGCTATTTCCATGCGAAGTACGATAGGCACGGCAATTATAGTTGATAATAAACCAACACCGGCTACAGCAAGTCCCATGCCAGCTGTTACAAGCGTGGTGTCAACTCAGTCAAGAGCATTCACGGCTCTGCGATACTTTTTATACAATCCAAGTCTCAACTCCCTCTCCTTCTCT